CTCCCTCAGTTCATGCACTGTTTTCTTAATTTCATTAAATTGTTGTATTCTCTTTCAACTCAAGAATTTAGAATTACCATTTTGAAATATTTTTCATGCATTTCATATTCTTTGGATTCTTTTACTGAAGATATATTGTGGTGCCAGGTTTGGACGCCAGGTTTGAGGGTGCCAGGTTTCCTTGCTTTTTCATGATTCTTCTGTCTCTATGTTGGTATCTGTGCATCTAATGGACAACAGCTTTTTCCCATTTCAAAGAGTAGCTTTCATAGGCAGAGGTTTTTTCCTGTTGATGTGTCCTAGGGTACTGATTGGAAATGGTGTTCTGGCTTTGATTCAGGGTGGACTCAGCAGTGTGGTCTCCATGCAGATTCTTCAGCTAGAATCCTCACCTGCAATGTCTGTGATTATCTTATCTGGTATGCAGGAGACCATGATTGTAATGGCATGGTCTTTCTGGAGTTGGGGGCGCCAGACTGGTTTCTGGCCAGTCACATGCTGATGTAGCAGGCCAGAAGGTTGTAGGATAGTCTCTCATGAATGTCAGGGTTACTGCTGGGCTGGCTGTCAGGCCAGGGATAGATGCACGTGGGACTGAAGGCTGTGCATGACTGGTGATGTAGGGGTGAGCTGTGGATAGAGTGCCTCCAAGCCAGCTACTGGGCTAAGGGCAGGCAATTGTGGCCCAGCAGCTGTGCAGAATCCTCCAATGGTAAGTACAGGCAGACAGCCTCTGGGCCAGATGTTCAAGCTGGGAGCAAGTTCATGCAAGCCCACTGGCTGTATGCTATTCTCTCCCTTGGGACTGGGCCACCTTCAGGCCACCTACTGAGCCACGGCCAAGTGTACACTAGCCTGGTGGCTGCATAGGACTGCCCTGCCATGCAGGCCTACCTGCTTCCCTGGGTAATAGCGAGCCTTGTGGGTTTAGGTACAGTATCAGGGTCTCAGTAGTGCCTTTGAGCCCAGGCTCCAAGTAGCCACGATACTAGTACTAGAGGCACTTGTGTGAACTTTGTGGAATGAAAGCAATGCCTCTGGGATACAGGGTGGCTACTGGCCTCCAAGTCAGAATGCACTCCAGATATGGGCTTGGTTTCACAGTTGCACCATTCCTTAGCTGCTTGGGTCGCAGGGGTAAGGGGTGTCAAAGGGGTTCCTGCTCTGGGGAAATGCAGCCACATGTGCTTTCAGCAACTGTTTATGCTGGACCTGGGGCTGTTGAGGACTGGGGAACTCTCCTGTAGCAGTGACTGCTGGCATCCGTGGTGACGATGAGGTCTGATGATTCCCAGGTTACCTTCCTTCTATAAGAAGAGGAACCCCCTGGCTCTGATTTGATCCTGGCAGGGGAGATAGTATGGCAGAGGCAAGATGCTCTGCTCTCCTCTCTATGGAGCAATTCTTGACTCTATGCTCCATGGGGACTTTGCTGTTCCCCTGGTGCTCTCCAGTCCATTTCCTCAGTCACTCCAAACAAAATAAACTTACTTGTTGTTTTGATTCCTTTTTGTGAGGGGGATGAGTGCCAAGCAACTCTAGTCAGCCATCTGCTGACATCACTTCCCATCAGTCTTTTCAATTCTAGCCACTGTGATATATGAGAGCTCTAATGTGTTCTTCGAGATGAAAAGAATAAAGCTTTTGATCATTTGCACCACCCAGATCACCACCACATCCACAATCATAACACCAAAAATGGAATCACATCCACAATTATGATACCCAAAATGGAATCATATAAAAAGTACAAATTAAGGAACTCTATGTTTCTAATACAGAGGCTACCACTGCTTATCAGACATGTGACTCCTATCAAAAGTTGACTTGTGTATCTTGCAGTAAGGGAGCTCACATTGCATGGGATGTGACTCCTGTGCCACATGGACAGACTGACAACACCGACCAGTTGATCCCTCTTCCTGAGGATATCAGTGGTACCTCACTGTTGCTGATACTTTTTCAAGTTACGCTATTGCTGTTCATCAGTCACTGATAGCCACAACCTTGTAGCCCTTAAAACTAATCGATTTCATATTTCTTACTTCTCCAGACCATCTATAATCTGACATAATGCACCTTCTATCATAAAAGCCACTCAAAATTGGGATGATGGTTATTCGATGGCCCTTCCATGCTCCTTAGCATCCACAAGTATCTGGTATATTGAGCACTGAAATCCTCCTCAAATATCAATTTTAAAAGATTTCTAAATCTGCCTCCCTCATCCACTCCTGTTTCATGCACCATCTTTAAGCAGTTCCCCTTCACAGCTGCTTCCTCAGTAATGATAAGGATTTTTTTAAAAAGGAGTTATACAGAACTACTTTAAAAATTCAGAATTCCACCCTGACTATTCCTGGACATGATCGTTCTTTCTTTCCCCAATGGCAACTCCAAGCTGAAGGTAACAAGAAATAACTAGCTGAAACACAGAATAAAGAAAAAAGAGACTCTGTAGTCTACCATTTCTTCAAATAGTTGAAGGTGTATGTTCTTAGTAACAATTTTAACTAGAAAACTTAGCACTATCTTCTAATGAGGCACTTCAATGTTATTTCATGAGGCAAGGCATTTGCACAATAAATATGCCCTAGACAGACACCAGTCACAATGTAGTTTAGTAACAAATTTCAACTGTACAGACTCCACTTGTGTCCTGGCAATGATAATCAAGAGAAAATAAATACAGCCAATACTGACACTAAAAAGTATATTAAGAAATACTTTCAAAACGTTCTTCTTAAGAAATTTCAACCATGAAATTTAGAAATGCCTAAACACAGGATTCTAAGATGTAAAAAGATAGGCTTTGTGTCATCTAATACACATAAGGCGGTATTCTAAATGTGTAACTTCACATTAAATTATGTCTTCTAAAATACAATAAGCAAATAATTTTGGAATTTTATTTGCAAAAATTTTCCCTATATGAACTTCAGTAATGAAGAAGGAGTTAATTTACTTTGAGGCATAATACATAAATGTCTTCTTTTAAAATGCATCATTTGCTCTTTTGAATTTAGAGTTCTATACCTTAATAAACCCATAAGAGCAAATGTACCTCTGATAATGTTTACCTAGAACTCTCCACATCCTCTTTTTCTAATACAACATGATTCACATACATGTTTATTCAATGCATATTTCGCATTGAACACTCCTTTGTTCATTGTGGGTTATTGAATTTACACATAATTAAAATGGCTCTTCTAGAGAGTATAATTGTATGGCAAGTTACACTATGACAAATCTCTATGTCATCTACAATATTTACTATTTACTATTTTTAAATTATATTAAAATGCAAAAGACCTAGAATGAAAAAAAAGAAAGCATTATCTGAAGATATTTTCTTTTGCCAATTTGGATAAAAACAACTATCCAAAACAATATATAACATATACATTGAGCTGAATATCAAATTATGAACAGCCTTCATCCCTTTTTATTTTACTTTTATTATATAATTAGTACATGTTGTTTTAATTAGAAAACAATCAAACTATTGATACTGGGATATAAGCTCACAGACATTTTATATTCATATGCTCATATAAAAAACATAATTTTTAAAATAATATTTGTATCAAGTATACATTCTTTTTATAACCCTTTTCACATAAATCATGCCCCTTACATATGAAATCCAATTCACATGTTTTGTATTTAAAATATTTATCAAAGTTTAAGTACTGTCAAGTTTTATAATTATTCAAGATAATGATGCATTGCAACACATGTTTTAAAAAGGAAAAGCCCAATTCATATAATTTCTCAAATACTTCAGAATATAAACCTAACTTTTTTTTAGGAATTTTAAATGAGTTTTCATTTAAAATTCCTAGCAACAAATATTAGCCACAACTAATGAGGGGAACAGCAGATTTTAATTAAGTCTTTACATGATATAATGTCTTACAAAGTAGTTTCCAAAGTAACATTGAGACACATTAACAGTCTCACTAAGAAAAAAAAAAATTATGTGCATTTGCTAAACAGCATTTTGAAACATTTCCTATCATACAGAAATCTCTGATTATTTGAAAAGAAATATCCTATTGATATTGTGCCAGGAGAAATACCTGAGAAATCTGGTAGTACATTCTGCTACCAAAGAACTATGTTACAGGGAAAAAAAATATAGTCATAAGATAAATTTGAGTTGTATACCTTTAGAAAAAGCATTTGACCTCTTACAAGCTAAATTTCTTCTTTAGTAACAGAGTTACCACTGCCTTCAAATAGTTGTTTAGAGGACTACAGTTAGTTATAATGTAATGGCTTTTTAAAACCAACATTTTTTAGAGCTATTATAAAAATCAAATGTGTTTATTTAGTCCTTAGATGAATCAAACTGTTTCAAATTAAAACATTTTGGTTATTAAATAAAAAACTGCATTCTAGCACACATCCTGGAGCCCTGCCCATTTCTTTGAAAAATATATATAAGCATATGACCATACTATAGATCAGATGTCTGCAAAGCACAGCCAAGGGGACAAATCCAACTGGCTGCCTGTCTTTGTAAATCAAGATTTATTAGGACACAGCCAAGCTCGTTATATTATGTATTAGCTATGGCTGCTTTTGCATTACAACACCAGAGCTGAATAGCTATAACAGAAACCCTATAGCCAACAAAGCCAAAAGTATTTACTATTAGCACTTTACAAAAAAAGGATGCTGACCCTTGCTATAAATTGTTGTAAATTGGACAGCGTATCCAAAAGAGACTAGGAGAAGGAAAAAAATGAAAGAAATATTAAAATATGCACTTAAATGTAATCCCTCATAACACCATCCCAAAATCTTAAAAAATCTAAATCCAATTGCAACCAAAACTAAATATGAAGCTTTTGGTTACATAAAACGTAAAAATACACAAGAATACTACTAATTTAGAGTAACAAAGTATATCTTATTACCTCTTAAAATTAATTCCAGCCAATTCTATTTTAAAAGTACTTATATCTGCTGTATACAAATTATGTTTTTACCTGCTAATGGCTTGTTCCTCATCAGTTATTCCAGTCTCCCTGAATGCCCTGTTTGATTCGGCCAAACTCAAGGCAATTGCTCTCTGAAGATCATCTTTATCATCTCCAGTGAGATCAATCACATCTGAAAAGCAAAACTATCTTTCTCAAAATTAAAAGTAAAACAAAATGAAAGGTAATTCTTATTATGGAGATTTTATACCCAATAAACTCTTTAAACCAGTCAGTATCAACTAATTTTATATTTCTAAAAGCCTATCTAAAAATAAATGGAAACACATTTTTAACTGGTTATACTCGGTAACTCAATGTTCTTTTCAATAAAATATACCTAAAGCAGTAAGTAGAAATATATTTCACTGCAAAAGAATCTGTGTATTTACTATGAGGTCTCTTATTAAAAGCTAATAAGCAGAAAGACTGCTGAGAACGTTTATCAACAAAAGTTGAAATCAATGCAATTAAACATTTACATTTCTGCTTTCTGAGGTTAACCCAATCACATACACATTACATTCTGTCTCTACTACTACTGTCTAGACATTATCAAATTATAATAATTAACAATGAGCCCTCAAAAATCGATGTTTCAGAAACTGACCACAGAGGTATACATTTTTTAAATTCTGGAAGAATGTGCCAAACTATTAACAGTGGCTAACCCTGAGGAAAGGAGTTATAGGAGGAGGAAGTATAAGGATCTTTCACTTTCTATTTAAACACGTCTATACATCTGAATTATTTAATAAGCATGCAATCCTTTTAATTTAGAACAAGATTCTCACTTCACAAAAATGAAGATACAAGTGAATGAAACTAACCCTCTCCTAAAAAAAGATAATAGCCTTGATGCTATTAGTCTTAATTCTTTTTCCCAAAGAATAAAGGTTACAATACCGCCTTCAAAAAGACTTTTAATCCAATTTCCCAAAATACATTGGCAAATTTCCTTAACCCAGAAGATGCCAATGATAAATATTCCCATTATCATTTAAACAACGATAGAAACCACAGTATATTGTTAAGTAGGGAAGTGGTTAACAGGTTATAAAACAATATGATCAGAAAGAGAAACTATCTGTTATTATCTTTGCATGGTTGGGATTATGCTTATTTGTATTTTGGACATGTTTTGCCTTCATTTTACTTATGTGTAATTTAAATTTTCTTTATTTTTTAAATACAAGGTTTCACTCTGTCACCCAGGCTGGAGGGCAGTGTCATGATCATAGCTCACCGCAATCTCAAACTCCTGAGCTCCAGTGATCCTCCCGCCCTAACCTCCAGAGTAGCTAGGACTACAGGCATGCACCACTTGGCTGATTTTCTTTTTAATCTTTTATAAATAGGAGGTTTTGCTTGTTGCCCAGGCTGGTGTATTTTAGACATGTTAAAAATATTTTCTTTTGTAATCATACAATTTTAGAAGAGGAAAAAAAAAAAAAAAACAGGATAGAGGATGGAAGATAAGGTGTCTTTATTTTACCATCTGGCTAAACAGCTTTATATAGATGCCAGAAAACCATATTATATATTAAATGAAAAAAAGTAATGTATATTGATGGTTTCCAGAGTCTACTATTTTTATCCACACGTCCTCCAAACAGTAGCCTGTAAGGAGATTTAAAATATTAAAAAGAATAGCTGATCATGGAAGGAAGTGGTGGTGTATTTTACAATGTCTTTAGAGAGTATAATAAAATCCCACAAAAATGTATTAAGTAGGGCCCCCAAAAAATTCAAGCAAGTAAAATGTGAAAGATTTATATAGCACAGAAATCGAAATGGTCAATCACTTTACAGACAACAGCAGGCCAAAGGTTTTATAAATATGGCTACAAAATCCAAGTCCACTCAGACTACAGGAAAAGAGGAGTGTAACCTGGAACTGGACAGTTGAGCGTAAATATTGATGAAGCAGCAGCAAGGACTAAAAAGGTATTAAGATGCCTCATAAAAATGAAAGCTATCTCAGTTATTAAAATGGCCAAAACTTAGATAAGACAGGATAATGAAAAGCAAAAGCAATTTGAAAATCACAGAGAAGGAGAAAAACAGGTTTTAGATATGTGACTGGCAGTCAAGATTCCATTATCTCATTCTAAGTTTCCTTTCTTCAACTATAGTAACTAAACAGTTCTTTTAAAAAACAAACAAACAAAAACTATCTTCTTTATTCCCTGGCAGTTAGGGTTTTGGATGAAATTTAGGCTACATCCATTAGGATGCACTAACATGAGATTTGGAAGGCAGAAGGTGGGGGGCATCTGCTGCCTTTGGCTGTTTTTTCTAATGTTCTTGAAAAGATTTAAGTTGTTCCACAGCAGTATTCCAGGCTCCAATTTCCAGCTTTAGGAATGTCAAGAGATGGAACAGAAGTGGCAACTAGACTTTGCATTCCAATATCCAGATAGAGCTCACTGGCAATTACCTAATCCTGGCTTCCTGTTTCCTGGGCTGCAACTATGAAGTATGCTCTTGAACTCAGTAGTCCTAGAGGCAGCTTTCCTAATTGTGACAGAAGTAGCAGCTTCCCTGACCGGGCACTCCTGCAGTGATGTGGGAGTCATTTCACAAGGCTGAGCTAGAACTTTCCTCCAGACCTTCCAGTGATTCTTCAAAGAACCTAATCCCTTGTATTAAATTCCTTATTTGAAAACATCTAGAATGTTTACTGTACCATGACAAGTAAAACATATGGGCTACAGCTGAAACTAATTTAAAAGTAGCAACCACTTACACTTACAGCTTTTCCTAATTTATCAATTGTAATTCAAGCAACAAAAAGCAAAGGAACAAGATGGGTTCCCCTCCTCCAACCTATTTTATAAATAAGATAACTGAAGTTCTGAGAAATGAGGCACATCTTAAGAAGAGAGAATGGTACATAGGCTTCAAAATTTAATTCTAACTCTTAAATCCAAAGTGGTCTTTCTGCCTTCCAAGCAGTTCTTCAAATATAATCCATTGATCCTTGGGGTCCCCAGGGCCCCTCTGAAAAAAGAGAGGAAGGTCCTTAAATTAAAAATGTAATAATACTCAGATATTGTCTGTCTTTTGTACCGTAGTCACATTTGCACCAATGATGCAAAACAATAGTGAATAAAAGTGCAGCATCTTAGCACAAATCAAGGCAGCAGCACCAAGTTATGTGATTCACTGTATTAGCCACAAATACGCGCACTCACTGTTTTAAATTAAGGGGCCAAGCCAGTTTCTTTTACAATTACGTTCTTGAAGAAAAGACTAAACCTAATTTTATTAAATCTCAAACCTTGCTTTGTGTTTAATTCTAACATAAGAAGTACTTCTGCCCTATATCCAGAAAATACACTAGTGCATTGCTAAAGAAAATACACTACTGCAAAATGAGTTATAAGCTATACTGATTTTTTCATGGAAGGCGATTTTTATTTAAAAGAACAAACTACAAACTAGAATTATTCTGACTCTGGAATTTAGCAGATGTTGTCTTAAAAAAAAGTGAGCCTGTCGCTTTAAGAAAAACAAATGTATTTGTTGACAATGATTAATATAGAATTTTCAAGCAAAAATCTAAACTTTGAAAACTTGTTTCTATCACCGTGAGCTTGGTATCTTCTCAATACTTAAAGGCTTGTCTATGAGTGGTGAGAGTAACAAATGCAACTTTTTCTTATAGTAGATATTCTTCAAGCATTTAAAAAGAAGTATCTTCAAATTACCAATGCAGTGTTACAAAATCATGCATGACTAAAAGATCCATTCAAGAAGCAGGAAACATTAATGGATTTTAATGCAACATAATATGAAAAGGTCATTGATACCACCAGAGAATAATGATGTGATTTTGAATTCCACATTGCAACGAATTTTTATGAAATTACCATCTGTTAAGTTTGGGTATCGCATTAAAAGGAATATCCATTATTGGCCAGGTGCCTTAGCTGTTGCCTGTAATCCCAGCACTTTGGGAGGCCGAGGCAGGAGGATCACAAGGTCGGAATTCGAGATTGACCGGCCTGGCCAACATGGTGAAACCCCTTCTCCACTAAAAATACAAAAAATTAGCCAGGTGTGGTAGCACCTGTAGTCCCAGCTACTAACGAGGCTGAGGCAGAAGAATTGCTTAAAGCCAGGAGGTAGAGGTTGCAGTGAGCCAAGATCATGTCGCTGCACTCCAGCCTGGGTGGCAGAGACTCTGTCCCCCCCACCAAAAAAAAAAAATATCCATTATAATCTGATTGATCAGTTAAAATACTCCTCCCTCTTCTAAATTATTTGTGTTAAGCTAGATTTTCTTCACAAACTTCAACCTAAACAACTTAGTACAATAGAATGCAAACCTTCAGAGGCACATTGGAGATACTAGCTCTCCTCTAACATGACAGACATTCAAGACTTGCAACGATATAAAGCAATGTTCTCTTCTCACCATTTTGTTTCAGAAAATGTATTTTTCATAAAATGTTATTTATGTAAACATAACAGATTGATATTTTAATATGAATAGACTAAGCTTTTCTGTTTTAATTTCTAATATAGATTACTTTACATACACAAAAGCTCTGAGGTCCTCAATAATTTTTCTGAGTGTAAAGGGGTACTGAGAGCAAAATTAACAAGAATCACCATCTACTTCATGTTCTTAGACATAAATGTTTTTTATGAAACAAATCATATTTGAAAATGGTTTTGTTTTTTACAATGCAGTTTTAAAATTTTTGAAGAAACGGCAAAAGAAAAAGATCAGGAGATTGTATGTATACAATGACTATTTCTTCCCTCATTCTCTAGGAGAAAAAAAAAATCAGAAGACCTGATTACATGATTTCTGCATGGCAATAATCATTGTGGCAAAGCCTGAGTGTAGCAGCAATAGTAGCAGCTCTCTTTAAATAGAATATTCACTCTCCATTTTGCCCCCCCCCCCACCTTGGCCAGCCACACACATTCATATTACCTTCCTTGCCTTTGAATCCTTATATCTTGTACCTTACACGGGTGTAACAGGATAAAGCTGCTTGTGGCAGAATGGCCACACTAAATGGCTCAAGCTACTCCAGCCTCTCCTAGCATCTCCAATAGCTGAGGGGTTCAGAATATAGGCACAACTGTACCCTAGCTGGGAATTTAAGCCTCCAATCCCTGGTATAGAGGAAAAGTAATCTTTAATGCTGGAAAAGTTGGTTGAGACCAGAGACTAACAGTCTTTACCTGAAAAGCTTGGACTTTTTCCTTTAAGCAATGGAGGAGGTTTATTTATTATTTTAATTTCATTGTAAATGTAACAGTTTTCTCCATGATCTTCCTATTACTCCATAAAGCTACTTCTTTTCACAGGGTATTTTCTAATATGACAATCCTGAAAAATAGCTCAATCCTGAAAGATACTTCATATACAGTCTTCACATGCAATCCTGAAAGACACCTCACATATCAAAAGAAATCCTGAAAGATACCTCACACACCAAATTCATATGATTTTTAAGACCAAATATTAAAAAAGTAAAATGTTATTACAACAGAGTAGTTAAATCCAATGTCTTCTTTTTCTGGACTTAGTGGAATAAATTTGTTTAAAACTTGCAATGAATTCTCAATTTTGTAATAAAAACTAGCGCTCAGATATTCTCATATGCTTACAAGAAACAGAGAATAAGCTTGGCTGTAAACAACTTCTAACTGGTACAAAGTAAGTTATAAAAAGTTAGTCTTTGTGTAAAACTTTGATCTCAATGCCAGAGCATTATTAATATTCTCTTATCTGTGTCAAGGCAAGACCTTGGTAAAACACTAAAAACATTCTTTTTAACTATCCCTTCTTCTAGCATTAGCATGAACACAATTCAGTAGCACACACATGGGAAGAGTTAGCTGGGTACCACTGTATAAAATCACATATTACAAATGCATCTAAGCAGCAATTTACATTTTTAAGAAAGTCCAAAATAAAACACTTTTCCTGTAAAGTCAGAAATACATACCAAAACATAACACTCATCCTACTAAATCTTTCACTTTCAATAAAATACCATTTGAGTAAAACTACCAACTACCAAACATTTCTCTGCTAACTCCAAAATACATGCCACTCATCAACTTACCAATGAATTAAGACTTCAAACATAATATATGCATTGTTCATAACTCATAATTCACTTTCCCATGAAAATACATTAAATGGGAACATGAATTATGTAAGTGAATCTTATTTGAACCTGAGGCTTCTAAGTAAGTTGACAAAAGCCTAGTTGGCCCATTATCCAGTTAAACTATTACATATGTAAAGATTATGAATTCAAAGAAAAATATCTACACAGGCTAAACCTAGGGGAAATACTTTTTTTTAAAAAATCCAAGTTTATATTTATGGTCAGCAAAGATTTCTAAGTAAGAGAGTGACATAAGCAGAAAAAACTGTTTGACAGTGAGGAGTTTGAGAAGAGTTGAAATAAGAGTATGTAGCAGGAACAGAGCAACTGAAGGGAAAAATCTACATACCAAAACTGACAGATCTACAAACCAAATGGTTGTTTTGGGAGACTGGTAGAAGAGCTATTTTTAAAAAAAAACCAAACAAACAAAAAACCCAGACCACCAGAAGAATGGAAATACCCTTAAGAAAGAAAGGCAAATATGAACATCAGGATGTGCAGCAAGAGATCAGAAACTAGAATACTGCCATTCTTACCCTCACTCACTCAGCTTCAACAAGGCTGTGTCCTCACTACTCATCTCAAGGGCCAACACACTGCTTCATCAGGCCCTGGCCTGGATGCACAGCTTTCAGAGAGCCACAGAGTTCATGCTCACACTTCACTCAGGTATCTGTACAACTGTGAGCTCTTCCACACTACCTAAAATCACGTATTATCCTATGCCAAGCCAACAAGCACACCCCCATCATCTTTTTTGTCTATGCCCAGGTCCACTGTTCGTCATGAACTGCTTATTACTATCTGACACTGTTTATTGTATACTGTCTGTCTTCCCTCTATGTAAACAAAGACTCTGCATGATTGAGAGTACTTGACACATATTACACAATCAATAAATATTTGTTAAAGAAATAAAGATTAATACCTAGACTACAGAATACAGATAAAAATTAGTGAGTCATCTTCCTAATTAGAAGATGAGAACATATTCTTTATCCAAAATTTTCTCTAGTAAGTGAAAGAGTAAACAGCACAGTAAGGAATCAGGTTGAAACAATTGTTAAAAGCCAGAAGACATAAACAAAGTAAATTGCTTCCCACTCCACTCCTCCATTCTCCCTTGCTCTCAGCTTCCTTCAGATGTTCCTATTTTTCCAATTTTCTCACTGTTAAATTCAGATTCTCTAACAGAGTGTCGTAAATTAGAACTTTCTCTTATGGAAATATACCATTTATTTGCACTGATAACATGGTAGCCACCAGAACTGCGCATTTAAAGTGCAACTAAGAAACAAAATTTCAATATTATTTCATTTTAATTGCCACGTGTGACTAGTGGCAGCTGTATCAAACAGCTCAGCTTTAAATGGTCTAGTTCTGTTTTTAATAATAGCTGCTAAAATCATAGCGGCAGCATTGGCAAGTAAGGAAAATAAGTAGTGAGGGACTCATTCCAGAGTTTTGTCATTAATTCTACTACTTTTTCCATTTTGGTTGTGAAAAAAAGTAAAATTAATATCCCACATTAGTCAACAAAAGTGCAAAGATCCATAGCTATCATTCTAACCCAAAACTAAAGAAAATTCATCGTTATATGAATCATTCTATAGTTCACATCTAATGAAATGCATCTAATCAATCTGAAGCACCTAATTGCACCTATCAGTTGGAACTAATTTTCACACCATTTAGCATCTCATTTTTTAAGCTTCATCTTGACTTTTTGTGAGCTGTCAAAATAGTTTTATGTATCAGAAATGCCTAGGGCAAAAGAGATTCAAGTTTTATTGCATTATTTTTTTTTTCTAAACGAAGTTACTTGGGCCATGGGGAAAGTATCAATGTTCAATTAATAAAATTCTAAACTGTTTAGCTTAAGTGAATTATCAATAAGTATAAAAGCACATTCAGAAGTGGATCTATTTATCACAGTTTAAACCACTATTAATGTGGTCATGCAAGGTGGACATAACTAGAATTCTAGAACAGAACCTCAAAAAATTTTTTCCTTTCTATGCAATCTTTACAAATAATTCAAGGTGCTTTAGAAAAAAGAAACACGGATTATAAATTTTTGAAGTCTTACCACCTAACACTCATTCCAAATTTCACACCAGTTTCTCTAAAACTTAAGTCAATATGAGGCATTACTTTCTGTGTTAAAATTACCTACCCAAATCCCTCTTATCTTTGGATCCATATTTTGATTGCCCAACTGTAGCACATCTTGTTCTGGGAAGCATATACTGTTTTTTTCCTGTTTTAAAAAAGTTCAAAAGAATTTAATGGTCTTGAAATAAAGAGTATTTCTATTAGGTTTCAAATTGGGCAAAAGCCCTGTATGGTCATGTCTATGACAGAGTTTGCCATGACACAAAAACTTGGCGGAATCTCTCCTCTGCCTATTAATCAGACCTATAATGCTCAACACCTGGCATTGTGTTCTAGTCTCATTTTCATTTGTGTTTTTGACAACAAAACTGCAAAACAATTTTATTCTCAATTTAAGCCAGGGACAAGAGGCACTCATTTGATAAACTATAATATTCTATCTAGACAGGAGATGCAAGTAATAAAAAGTTAACTAGAATTATTGCTTATTACAGTACAAATGATTTGGGCTTTTTCCCAGAATTCAATAGAATTACAGTATGGAATGTAATGAAGCAATACAAAGACATCAGGCATATGACTTCTAAACTCTTTATTATGCAGAGCACAAGTTTTCCTTGATATGTCTCTTTTTTCTCTTAAAAGTGAAAGGTAAAAATACACCCAAAAGGCATATAATTGTCCTACTAACTATTGAAAATATATTTACTTCTTCAATATTAAAGGAAGGCTCACAAATGTGTTTTTCAAATCAAGTGACATACTTTAGCCTCTGACATACCAGGCATGCATAAACAAAAATTTCTCCATATGCCCCAAAGATAACTTCCATGTGATATCAGTTTAAAAACTAAATTTTTCTAGTCAGAAAAAAAAAAAAAAAAAAAGTGTCATTCCTTCTGAAAGAAACAGTCCATTGTAAACAGTGATATTCTAGCTAGTACCAACAAAGGGGTATAAAGTATTTGGTATCAGAGATTTTACTTCAGAAGACAGATGTTTTGTCAGCACTGCAACCAACAGATGATACACTTAAAGTTAGCATGACTTTGCTTATGCTTGAACCCTGGTTTTAAGAGATTTTATACCTAAAAAAGAAGAATGGAAATAATTGAAAATAAAAATCCCTGCCATATTTGAAAAAATTAAGTGAAACTGTGGTCAACTTTTTATTGTTTTATTTATTTATGTATGTATGTATGTATGAGACAGTCTCGTTCTGTTGCCCAGGCTGGAGTGTATGTATGTATGTATATATGTATGAGACAGTCTCGTTCTGTTGCCCAGGCTGGAGTGTATGTATGTATGTATGTATGTATGTATGAGACAGTCTCGTTCTGTTGCCCAGGCTGGAGTGTAGTGGCATGATTGTGGCTCACTGCAACCTCCACCTCCCTGGTTCAAGCAATTCCCCTGCCTCAACCTCCCAAGTAGCTGGGATTACAGGTGCACGCCACCATACCTGGATAATTTTTTTTGTGTATTTTTAGTAGAGATAGGGTTTCACCATGTTGACCAACCTAGTCTCGAACTCCTGACCCCAAGCAATCCGCCTGCCTCGGCCTCCCAAAGTGCTGGAATTACAAGCATGAGCCAACATGCCTGCCTGTGGTCAACTTTTAAGTAACAACGTATTTCATAAAAAATGGACAAAGTGCTCAAAAGAGTTTTTATATCTATAACAATCCCTTGAAAACTCTCACATTCTGATCTGTTCTTTATTTCTACAGCACTTAGGTAGTTTTTTTTTTTTTTTTCTTTTTCCCCCAATAGAGGCCTACATTTGAATATATATCCATTTATAATTATTTTCTCTTTCTGTCCCACATGTAAGTTTTACCACACCTTCCAAGAATTAAAAACACACAACTTCATTTCTTCTCAACAGTAACTGCACAGTCATTTTTAAAGAGTATTTTTTTAGTACCTGCTGAAATGCATGACATCTTCTCACTTTTTCAGTTTTAAACCATGTAACACTGTACTACTGCACTACTGGCACAAATGATTAATGGAAAAGTATTACTGTTATTCCATCATCTAATTTTTCTCCAGTTTGATACTACTATAATGAAATCACCACATTAAATTCCTACAACAGTTTGCTGTCAATAATCTCAAACCAACTTTATGGACACACTATCCCAATTAGCATCCTGGCTAGAAGGAAAGCACTTAACACATATTATGTATTATATATTTTATGGATAAAGGAACCACAACAGCAAGCAAGTTACTCAATATGACAATCAGTTGAGATGACATCAGAAACTTCATTTCTCGACCTTCTATTCCAAGTGGAAAACAAAATTACTTCGTGAATATTTGTCAAGAGATCCACAAACAAACAAAAAAGCTTTAATTATCAACAAATGCGACACTGAAATTATCAACAAATGCCTTCTGAAATTAGGTTGCCTTCTCCCTAAGAGACCCTATTCAATTTTTTTTTTTTTTGTCCTCCATAACATTTTCACTATTTCCTATCTAAAATCTTAAACAGCCTTATGCAATATTTTCTCACTTTGCACAGCAAATATCTTTTGTGTATGACATATATAATCTTAATTTTCCCCTTTTCTATACATATACATCATGTCACCAAGTATACCACCTATATTAAGCGTTCACAACAACAATGATCTCTGTTTAGTCAATTTACTGTTTGCATCACTTAAACCAGGAGCCTTTTAGCAAAAATTATCCTTTTCCTTTTCATCACCTATCTAGTTTCTTTTTCCCCTCAAGTCTTAGAACTTTGAAAGATCTGAAATATTATTCTTACTAATTTTTCTGATATTTATACCACTTCTCTTTCAACTTTTTGCAAAAAAACTTCTCAACTTCATTATCTTTCAAAGAGCTTTACTGCACATATTATCAAAAATAACTAAATGAACATTTTTTGAGCACCACTAATGTTCAAGCAAATAATTCCAAAATAACAGAGTATTCATTAAGACAGAAGCATGTCCTGGATGCTGGAAAAGCACGTGGTCTTAGCTAGAGGCCAGGAAAAGCATTCTCCAGCAAGCAGCTCTTTAGCTAAATATTTCAATACCAGAATATATTAGGCTAGGGAGGAAAAGGCCAGAGTGCATTCAAACAGAAGGAACAGCACAGGTAAAGACAGAGAAATTAAATAGCAGTGAGTACATGAGAACTTCAAGCCATTCTGTATTATTATAGTATTGAATGACAGGAGAAAAACAGTGAAAAATGAGGCTAAAAATGTGGAAGGGGTCCAATTCACAGTTTGCCTTGAACTTAAACGTTAAACGGGTCTGTCATATGTATGCAACAAAAATTATCCCATCACCTATTAACTGAGATAGGAATAGTCTAGTTTCCTCTGACACAAGATCATCTTTGTATCCTGAAAACTAGAAATTAAAATATTTTATCAATAAGCATTAATAAATCTCTATGTAAATGAGCTCTTTTCAGGTTGCTTCCTAACTTTGAGAATGTCTATAAACAAAATAAGAAATTCTCTCCAAATATGTTAATAATCAAACTTTGCAAATCCATAATGTATAAAAATAACTATTTTTTATGTAGCACAATTATTAATCTATGACAGTAACTGAACATATTTTGAAAAACTGTGCACTACACAAGTTTAAAGTATTCATATTATGAAGAAAAATTTAAGTCCCACATACAATCTTCCACATGTATGTATTTGTGTGTATCTCCAAAAGAATGCTTTTCCCTAGTTTTCTTTTTTGGGATGAAAGGCAATTTTGTTACACAATAATAAACTTCTTCACCAAAGCTTTATTTGAAAGCAGGGGGAAAGGGAAGGAAAATTTTATTAAATGGTAAACCTATCAGTAATTAGAAATAATATTTTAACTTCAAAAGTAATACTAAAACCTCTACCAATACTAAAAATCTACAAAATAGCTGTCCCCGTTAAAAATTCTAGTTCTTCCTTTTATGAATATATCTGCAGCTATTCCATATTTCAAAACAATAAATACTATATGAAATGCTCCATGAAAAAACTATATAACTTAGATAAAATCTTTTCCTTATAATCTGATAAAGATAATATATGCTCCTTTCAATTATACTAAAAAGAACTAAGGTTAATAGAGCTCTTCTTTGGTTCTTTACCTTTGGTTAAGCAAATAATATATTACACCAAGGAAAATTTGTCAGTATATTTCCTTTAAAATAATAAGAAAGGAAAGAAAACTTACTTGTATCTGCTTGGCTTCCCACACTTATGTATCTGTCATTGCCAGGAAGTGCTGTTTGGTAGTAAGTTGTCTCCTCCTGCTGAGGGGTCTTAGCATTCTTTGCAGTAAGGAAAGCCACCGCTAATTCCAAGTTTCCATTACTATCCTTCAAAAATCAAGAAAGGAATGCCAAATGTTTTGAAATAATTTTATACATTCACAAAAAATTTATACAATATTCTCCATAACTAATACTCTAGAACAAATCTGCTTTAGATTTGAAAATTATATATGATTCTAATTTTATAGTGTAAATGCATCATAAAGTATACAATATCAACAGTAATACTCTTTTTACTAATTAAATCTGATACAATGTAAAAATCATCTCTAATTTCTTAGTCTTTCATTACTTTCCTATCTGCTTAATAAAAGACAACCACAAACTTACACTTTTGGAAAAAAAAAAAAAACAAAAAAAAAATGTCTTCTGGAACTTGCCATATGAAAGAGTGCAATATGAGTATTTAAAATAATACTTCTACAAACAAGGACAATAAAAGATACTCCTTTTGATATGGGTGCTAGATACATTCTTAGGGGCAAACATGCAGAAGTCAAGGACTCATAGGAAGAAAATGGCAAAATGTGCTTAAGGGCTTGATAATATGGAGACACACACAGAACTCTAGACAGAAATAATACTGTCAAGATGACAATCCTACCCAAATATAAACATTTTACACAGTTCTCATCAAAAGCACACCTGAATAAAATGATTCTAAAGCTCATTTAGAAGATAGCAGAGGCCAGAAAAAGAATTTTTAAAACAGCAAAATGAAAAGAGACTTGCCCAGTTACATCTTTATATTCTCTGCATGGTTGACAACCAAAAAACGCTAGCTAAGACAGTTGCCTGAAACAACACAGGAAACCCAGATATTCATAACAAAGCTAATCTTTGTAACAGAAAACCAGAACATAAAAGGCTCTGTAGGTTTCCTAAGAACTTAGACATGCACATGGGTGTAATAAGAAACGAGTGGAGTGTTCTGGAAAGGAATGACATAGTATGACATTTTAAAAGGTTCACTCTGACTATATATTAAGAATAGACTACAGGAGAGAAAGTGCAGAAGAGTCCAATATTATTGCTATCATATTAAATGTGGGACATGACTGTAGGATCAGGATGATTCCAAAATTTAAGGACTGAGCAGCTGGCAGAATAAAGCCGCCAAAACCTACCCCAATTCCAATTCTAGCAGTCAGTGATGAGAGAAGTAAGAGTGCAGTTTCAAAAGCACCACCACTTTCAGGTATGCTATCTGTCATGAGCATCAGAAGATTCCTAAGTGACTCATCCAAAATGTAAGATACACTATTGTTAAAGAAGTAAACAAATCATAAATCTCGATGATGACTAACATTTATTGAGCACGTACTAGATGCCAAGAAATATGTTTCTCATATAATTTAAAAAAAAAAAAAAAAACTAACACAGCAGGAATTTACACAAATTTAAGTTCATTTACTTTTTAGAGCTAAAATACATTCTCAAATTAAAAGTACTGAAATTAATCAATGATGTTATGGATGGTGCCCAAAAGGAGACTTCTTGTCAGTTTAAGACTAAGATAGTCAACTCATGATGAAACATCTTAGAAATTTATAATGGGCAACAATTAAGCTTTAAATACACTCTTTTCCCCCAGCTACTGGTAACTGAAACAAAAACTTTGGAAAAATTAAAATTTAATATTAAAAAAAAAACTATATACACACAACTTACATCACAGGAAATGCAGATAAGACTTAATTGGAGCTATATATTTCCTAAGTTTAAAAAAAAAATGTGAATTACCCAAATTTATCCTGGCAAGGTGATAGGCTATGGCCTCACACTCAGTAACATATACGGAAAAGGTAGTTTCTGAAAACAGACATGGAATTTAGTGACAATATCTATCAGAATAAAAAAAGACTAGCAATTATCTAAATGTCATAATCATAAAAATTGAGGTAGAACACTTCTACATCCTCTCCAAATCCTTAGAGTGGCTTCATGCACCCAGCATAAAAGCTCTAATACTACTAGTTCATGATATTCCTGATGGGGGAATAAGGTGAAGCAAAGCTTCTAGTAAAAGAAGCATAAATTAAGTCTGCCACCTTGGGATCAGGCTGCCTTGGTTTCTACTCCAAGCTTTTCCATATACAGGCTGTGTGATCTTGGGCAAGTTACCTTAACTTCTCTGTTGCCTCATCTTTTCAAAAGGGGGATGAAACTAATACTTATCTCATAGAGTTGTTATTAGGATGAGCTAGCCCACATAAAGTACTTAAAATACTGCCTGGTAGTACTAAAAGTTTAATCAGTACTAATTATTATAATGACTTTTATTACAATCACCTAATAGATTATTTCTAAATAGACAAAAAATAGATAAAAATAGATAAAAAACTTCTGGGGAGTGGTGGTGGGGGGGGGGAGGAAAAAAAAAAAAAAAAAAAAGTCTATGTTAAAACCAAGTTCCAAAGGACTGGAGCTGTGTATATGACTGTAATGGCAAAAATGCTGTATTGTGTTTAGTCTATAGTGGTAATATTCAAATAAGCTTAAAATACGGTACAGTTCTATTTCTTAAATAGCTTTCATTCACTCTTTTTCAAAGTGAGTATACACGTGATATGACTCATTTGGATGTCTGTGCGAAAATGAAGGTACAACTAAGACATGACAAAAGTGATGCATTTTAGTTGTTGCCTATAGTGAAAAGTTTGAAATTGAATGCTTTTAACTTAGGGTGTAATTAGCTGAATAGGTGCAAATTTATATTTCTGCTTCTCAGGAGAAGAAAAATGTAAACTTTAGGCCTTTTATTAATTTTCTATTTTCTATTTTCCCCTTCTCTTAACACCTCTTCCTCTAATACACCCCACCTTGCACCCTCATTTAAACTCTAAAATCATAGCTCTTAAAAGTAAAACCATTCTGCACAAAAAGCATTTCATATATAGAAAGACACTATCTGTCACTCTAAGGTATCGTGGACATCAGACTGCTAAAAACTAACATGCTCAAAACTGCAATAATTGAGGATTTTACTTTACCAAAATCCATTCTCATATCTCTAAAACTACCACATGGTTTAATAAAAATAAAAAATAAAAAACTTCAACTATCAAATATAACACATACTAGAGATAAGCATATACCACAAACTGTATATCATAAAACAGAGGCCATACCTTCAAGGCTTGCTGTAGTATTTGGGTGTCATTAATCCCGGTAATTTCTCTCAGTTGATTCAAAAACGTCTGCTGGTGCTAGAGGGAGGAAAAAACCAAAATCATTATATTCTCAATTCTGAAAATATACAAGGAAAACAAATGACCTCTGGTTTTACAAACAAACAAACAAACAGAATAAACTAGGATAAAAAAGGAAAATGAACTTAAGAAACACCAAGCAACTTCCTCCTTCTAGAAAGAATGAATCATGCTGTGGAGAACTCTTATGTCATTCTCATGTTTCAAAAGGTAACTTCCCTACATTACTCCCCAAGAAGTTTTACTGAATTAGCAGTTTCCGTCCCATTCTTCACCCCCTCATTTATGCCACCTAACAAGAAAAGCAGTCATATCCATGATGGTTAAGCACAAGGAGAGAAACACCTTTGAAAAAGACACACTTTTGGTAGGACATAATTATACCATGGAGATCCTCAGATCTACTTAAAAAAAGAGGATCATTTCACTGTCCAATCTGTCATAAAAGATTATAAACTGAATAGATCTTTTGCCCCCATTTGCTTCAGTTCTTTATATGCTTTGGCCTATATAATTGATTACATACTACATTGCAGTAGAGAGAAAAAGAGAGAGACAGAATTTCACTATCAAACTCTCCCCTGATAGCCCCTAAATAAAAACCAACTTCCTCCCCACATCTCTGTATTTCTTAAATTTCCCAACACTATAAAACAGTACCATGAAATATATAAATCACAATGGATATCATAGGAAAAGCAAACCTAATCAATAGAATAGATTAGGATCTACTGAAATTTTTTTAAAAAAGATGTTTTACATTTATCTCAATAATAATTCAGTCAGGAATCTTCAATGGATACTACAACCACTGAATGAAAGTTTGATCAGGAACAGAATATTTACATCATTTTAAATTCTATTCCTATAAATTATAAAGGGAGAAAGAATAACTTTATTGTGTTAACAGCAGCAAACCCATATGAATTTGACCAAGAGGTCTAAGGCAGAGTGAGAGATCACGGCAAGTTTTTAGAGCAGGAGTGAAAGTGTATTAAAAAGCTTTAGAGCAGGAATGAAATGAAGTAAAGTACACTTGGAAGAGGACCAAGTGGGCAACTTTGAAGATCAAGTGAACAGTTTGACCTTTGACTTGAGGTTTTATACACTGGCATGCTTCCAGGGTTTGCGTTTCTTCTCCCCTAATTCTTCTCATGGGGTGGGCTGTCCACAGGCACAGTGGCCTGCCAGTACTGGGGAGGAGCTGCATGCACCGTGTGTTTACTGAAATCGTGCACATGCTCATTTGAGGCGTTTTTCCCTTACCAGTTGGGTGCTCCTAGAGGAAGAGCATAGGTCAATTAAACTCCACCATTTTGCCTCTTAGTGCATACATGCTTGAGCCCATTCACCCAAATCCTGGGATCTTATCAGGAAGCTGCTGATCACCAGTTTCAGTTGTTTTGTTTTGTTTTGTTTGGAGATGGATTCTCTCTCTGTCACCCAGGCTGGAGTGAATGTAGTGAAGAGGCACGATCTCCGCTCACTGAAACCTCCATCTCCCGGGGTCAAGCAATTTTCCTGTCTCAGCTTCCAGAGCAGCTGGAACTACAGGCGCCCACCACCACGCCCGGCTAATATTCTTATTTTTAGTAGAGACAGGCTTTTACCATATTGGTCAGGCTGGTCTCAACCTCCTGACCTCAGGTGATCTGCCCTCCTCTGCCTCCCAAAGTGCTGGGATTACAGGCATGAGCCACCAAGCCTGGCCTCAGGTGTTTCTATCTATTGGGAGACTGGCTGGCACCAGTTGTGACCAATTATTATTTTAGAGAGACTGTTAATAACAGCCTGACCATGGCCTGATGGTTGCCTGACATTCCTGGTGGGGAGGCCCTCTCCTGCCTTGCTCATGTCTGACTAGCTATCTACTGTAACAATAGTGCAAAACCTGAGAGTCACCACCTTAACCAAGAGATCAAAGTTAGTATTACCAATAATGGGATAAAATGGCAGTGCATGCCTCCCGATACTCTATAATCTATGATATTGCCCTGCCGAAAATGCACAACCTAAATTTAATTTTAAGGAAGCATCACACAAACCCAAACTGAGGGATACTGTGAAAAATAATTACTCTATTATCTTCAAAAATGGCTATGCCTTGAAAAACAGATGGAGTCTCCACACTAAAGGAGACTAAAAAAGCATGTCAGCCAAATGGGGAGCTGACTGTAGCCCATACCAAATGTTATGCAGAATATTGTTGGAACAACTGGACAAATATGAATATGGAGCACTTAGTAATGACATTTTATTAATATTAAATTTGGAATTTGATAACTCCAGTACAGTAACTCCAGAGAGTATCTTTTTTATTAGGAAACATATCCTGAAGAATTTAAGTGGTAAAGGGGCATGATGCCTGCAACTTACTATCAAATGCTTTGGGGAGAAAAAAAGTTATGAAGTCCTGTGTGCTAAGTTTGCACTTTTAAATTTGAAATTTCAAAATAAAAAGTTTTTGAATGTTCTGTATTCAGCTTTGTTGACATTAAATTGTAAATTGTGCATTTCAAAACATGCTTGACAATTTAAATACTGTAAAATACATATTTTTAGAAGTCTAAAAAGTCTAAGAAGTCCTAAACAAATTACATGAAAGGTTTAAGATAATGCAGCCCAAATATCTTTTACAGAAACCGTATGTATTAGGTAGAAACTACATTCAGCTACATTTAACAGATTCCCAACTAAACTGCAGCTCCAACACTCTGGAGTGTCTTTCTTTTCTAACTTAGGAGACACAATGGGCACTCCAGACCTAGTAAGGACACCCAGAATGAAGTCTTTATGTAGAACATTCATCAGAATATGTCTGTCACTCCATGGTCTCCACCTCCACTGTCCTGTCCATCCAAGTTCTAGGTAGGATAAATGGAAGGGCAAAGGACAAAAGGTGTCTGCCAAATGAATGGGACTCCTTTAACAAGCCCCACTTACAAACTTCCACTTACAAAAGCATCACAAAGCACAAAACAGTTGTGTGGCAAATCACAGCTGCAAAGGAGACTGGGAAATGCATTTTTTGGATAGGCAAAGGCTGCCCTTCAAAATGAAATCAGGGTTATATTATCAAAAAGAAAAGAATGTTTACTGGATCGGCATTGTCAGTGACTGCCACACCATCAAAGAACTTTCACTTCCATAAAAATATTTTTACAGAGCTGGGATAACGAGGACTAACGATACATATTAAAGTACACAGAGACATATAAAATACCAGGAAGTATCAAAATGTTGAATAAAAGAACTGCCAAATTTACAGACCTGCAATGAGAAAACTAAAATTCTCTTTAAACCTATCAGTTTTTATACCGAAAACCAAAAATAAAATTTGAAGCCCCCTCCCTGTCCTGCACCAACCCCCTACCATCTGAATGAACTTCAAGGCACTCTAAAATTTAACCCAAAAGACTGGTTCAGGCCATGACTACAAGTGGGGGTGAACATGCCTCGTTATACCTTTCCAGCACTAACGTAAACACAGACCTTAAGTCCAGTAAGAAATATTTTCAGTCTATTCTCTCTAAAGCCTGCTACTTGGAGGCTTCATTTCCATGATAAAAAACCTAGACCGCCACAACCCTTTATCTTAACCCAGACAGTCCTTTCTATTAATAACTCAGCCAGTTGCCAATCAGAATATGTTTAAATCTACCTATGAACTGGAAGCCACCCCGCGACCCCACTTTAAGTTGTCCCACCCTTCCAGACTGAATCAATGTGAATCTTACAAATTGACTGCTATGTCTCCTTAAAATGTATAAAAGCAAGCTGTACCCCAACCACCTTGGGCAAATTTTGTCAGGACCTCCTGGGGTTGTGTCATGGTCACATACTTAACCCTGGCAAAATAAACTTTCTAAATTGATTGAGACTTGTCTTAGATACTTTTTGGTTTATACTACTTTCATTTAGAAAATTACCAATAACTAGCAATAGAATCATGACTAAGTTATACAGTACCCAATATTATGAATTAAAGGGATAAAAATTTTACAGAAATTATCTTTATTCAATTCAATGTCTTCATTTAGTTACTGTAAAATCCTTGATAATTTTTTATAAGCCTGTAATCTCACTGCTACCCGCACTCCATACCTGATTTCACACATAAAGTATTATTTTCCTCAACTGAAAATTATTCAATCATGGCTCAGAAAAAAATTGGAGTACCCAAGGAAATTAGTCATTTGTACAAGTGCTGATGGCCATTAATTACAAAAATCAAAAAATGGCTGTGTCCCCAACAAAATCTCAGATTGAGTTGTAGCTCCCTTAATCCCCATGTGTCGTGGGAGGGACCTGGTAGTAGGTAAGTGAATCATGGGGGCGGGTTTTTCCCATGCTGTTCTTGTGACAGTAAGTGATTATAAGAGCCGGTGGTTCTATAAAGGGCAGTTCCCCTGCACACACAGTCTTGCCTGCCGCTGTGCAAGATGTGCCTTTGCTTCTCCTTTCCCTTCTGCCATGATTGTGAGGCCTCTGCAGCCATATGAAACTGCGAGTCCATTAAACTTCTTTTTCTTTATGAATTACTCAGTCTCAGTTATGTCTTTGTTCGCAGCATGAGAGCAGACTAACACACTGGGTAATTTACAAAGGAAAGAGATTTAATGGACTCAGGGTTCCACATGGTGGGCGAGGCCTCACAATCATGGCAGAAAGTAAAGGAGGGGCAAAGGCACATATTACATGGTGGCAGGCAAGAGAGCACTTGTTATAAAATCATCACATCTTGTGACACTTATTCATTATCATGAGAACAGGATGGGGGAAACTGCCCCGATGATTCAATTATTTCCACCTGGTCCCTCCCACGACACACCAGGGATTATGGGAACTACAACTGAAGATGAGATTTGGATGGGGACACAAAGTATAACTGTATCACTCAGTCTCAGGTTATGTTCTTATAGCAGAGAACAGACTAATACAAATATGTATCTTCTTCCACTAAGAAAGTAGTTCTCAAACTTTAATGTATAGAAGGATGGCTTCATGAGTTTGTTAATACTGAAGATGCCCAGGCCTCATCCCCAAAGACTGATTCTAAAGAGACCAGTCTGGGTTAAGGTCTAAGGATCTGCATTTTAATAAGCACTTCAAATGATTCTGATGCAGATCAACTTAGAAGCAGAGTCTGAGTTAAACATACAACTATTTTTAGGTGAAAAATACATAATCCATACAGAAGTTATCCTTACAAAATCATATTAAGCTAAAGCAGAATACAAAATAGTATATATATAAATTAATGACTAAAAGGTAAAATGTGAACATGGATATGAATCCCAGAAAAGATTACACTGCCTATGCTAGACTCCCAATTCTCCCATCCCTGTATCCATACTCTTCGCCACTTTCCACTTCCTCCCCTAGAGACATGCTGTATTTCCCTGTGGTATGGATGATGGGCTTTGACTAATGGCGTGTTGGCAGCCAGCATGCAAGCAGACATGAAACATACCTGCATGGCTGGGCTTGCCCTGGTGAACTTCTGCAACCTACTTAAGAAGAACATGACTTGGTAGCCCACTTGCCTAAGAAGAATGAGGCACATGTGAAGAAAGCCACCCCAGCCAACCAACAAATCTATAAGTGCGAGTGACAATATTTTGGTATGCCACTGGGTTTTGAGGTGGTTTGTCATGGTGGTTTGATAAAGTGTAACAAGAATACTGAGTATATTATGGAGAAGAGCAAGGTCTTTGAAATTGTTATTTTGCCGTTTTATCTTTTAATACAAAGTCAAGCAAATATCCTAGAAAAAAAAGCAGGTTTAATCTCTAGCATAGTTTTTATAAATCATGACTGAAAATGAAACAATAAAAAGAACTGGGGATGGGGGAGGAGGCTAGGTGGAAAAGAAAAAAAAGGTGAAAGAATTTTCTTAGCTAAACCTAGGTAGAAATAAATGGAAAGAAGTGAGCAATGAGAAAAATTCTAAGTTTAAGTTAGAAAAGCCACCTCATTTGTAAAGTTTTTTCCCTTTGTTA